TTGAGAGTGTTGTTGCATGATACTTTTGTCTGTATTCAAATGCAGATGTATAAGATGTCTCCAAAGTATTGCTTGAGTTGATGAAATGAAGTAGGAGCAGGATTAGTTTTCCAGACCATAGAGATTCAGAACTTTCTTCAACAGCTACTACATGGGCAAAGGCATTCCACAACAATGCACTGTAGTGCATATATAACAGATCTGCTTTCTGATTTTGTTCTTAGATCTGGCAGTGTGGAGGAAGTCTTGAAATCCATCCTTGTTCTCACGTAGGGCATGTTTTTCCAAAGCAAGCTCCATATTCACGTGCAAAAGCATTAGCTAACTCTGTTCGGGCTGCTGAAGTATGGATGGATTCGTATAAAGAACTTTACTACCACAGAAATCCACATGCACGCTTGGTAAGTTTGCTGTAGGCATAAGTACAGGTATAGAAGATAAAATTTATTTCTTGATAAGCTGAGAGACTAAGTTTATATTCTCAGAAAATAAAGGAATGAGCCTAAAAATATGATAAGACAACAAAGAGAACGGTGCAAATGCTGAAATTTTGCAAGATGAGTACAGAAAAATATAGGCAGAATAGTGCATATGCTTATGTTTTGGAGGAACTCAGGCCAGCAGTTTCTAGCCCTTATAGTTTTAAAAATAGGTTTATATATGAAAGAAAATACAGCTGCTAAACATTTTGAAGTCGGTGAGATAGATATCATTTCCGAGGATGATTTTGCGAAATAAAAATATAAAATTTACATAGGTAACTTCATTTATAAAAATACGTTTCTTAGCATTTCATATTAATTTGATTGGCCTTAATTCATTTTTCCCTCCATATTACATACTGACATTGATTGAAAAGTTATTAATCTTTTCAACTGAGGTTGTAATATTTCAGAGGAGTACACATATTAAAATGTTGCCAAATTGAACTAGAATATTCCTCATGAATAACAAGGCTGTTTGTATATAGAAAATGTTTCGGGCATTCTGCAGGCCTCACACTAGGATGCTGTACTTTCTATTGTTTTTCAGAATTTTGCACTTTGGAAAAAATTATGTCTACCTTATGAGTTGCATTAACTTTAATGAATCAAATGCTTAAAGCATCATCATTTTTGAATGCTCACTTGGAAGCCTAAAAAATGATAGGCTTTTTTTAAATGAAGAGCATGCATGCACAATAACATAAATAATTGGATAGGAATATTATAATTATAATAACTGAAGTCCTGGGGGCCAAAACTTAATGCTGATGTATTTATTCAGATAACTGCTGACTAGGGTAATTTATTTAATATAGAGCTATTTTCACCTTAATCAGGAGTGGGATTCTACAGGTTCGCACCTATTCGCTAGAACTGTTTGTTAACATTCTAAGCAGTTCGGAGAATCGGTTGTTAGAAGAAATTACTGGCCTAATCCTGTAAGGAAGGCAGGAAGGAAATATTCTGGTGTTGCTTACAGAAACTGCCTCTCTGTCAACCCTTATTACATTCTTGACAGGACTAGACTTCCTGTCTCTGGAACTTCTCTGGAGTTTTTTTCCCCTCCTTTGCTGGTACTTTGCTTGTTTGGAGTGACCATTCAAAGTTACAATGGCACTGGAAAAAAGTGACTTATGACCATTTTTCACACTTACGACTGTTGCAGCATCCCCACAGTCATGAGAGGCCAGGCGAGGAGATGCGTGCCTCAATGTAAGTAATATTGAGTTGGCCACATCCAGCCAATAACATGACCACCAAGCCACGCCCACCAATTAAGCCACGCCCACAGAACCGGTTGTTAAAAAAATTGAATCCCACCCCTGACCTTAATAATTTATAAATTGCATAAGTGTGAGATACTCAAAGCAAAATTTATTGTATTAGGATCTTACTTGCCTCTCTGGAATACTGTATATAACTTGTTCTCTATTGAAACTTTACTCTGGGATTTCACTTTAGGAACCCTATGGAGATGTGACAGAAAGAAAACTGCTTCGAGAGAAGCTCAAGTGCAAGGATTTTAAATGGTACTTAGAGAATATTTATCCTGAACTTCATGTCCCAGAGGACAGACCTGGCTTCTTTGGGATGGTAAGTGAAACTCTTCTTCATAAGGGAATTTCCAAGCCTTCATACTCTTTCAAGATACACAGGTAGAAGTTCTTGAACAAACAGTCCTGAGAATTGCTAGTAGTATTACTGGGTAGATGGATTTTAGCCTCCCAAACATACTGAGGTAAACAACATTTGGGGTTTTGCATAATCCCTCAAGCAGATACAATAGATAAGGTAAACAGGTAGCCATCAATTTACACAATTGAGCACAAAATTTCTGTTGCTAAGCAAGACAGTTATTAAGTGAATTTTGCCCCACTTTTCTTGCTGTGGTTGCTAAGTGAAACAACTGTAGTTGTTAAGTTGGTAACACAGCTGTTAAGTGAATCTGGCTTCCCCATTGACTCTGTTTGTCAGAAGGTTACAAAAGCTGATCACAGGATCCCTGGACACTGCCATTGTCATAAATACATGCCAGTTGTCAAGAGTCCAAACATGACCGGGTGGTGGTGGTGCTGCAATGGTCGTAAATGTGAACTAAGTCACTTTTTTCAATGCCATTATAACTTCAGTCACTGAAAAAATGGTGGTAAGTCAAGGACTACCTGCATGTCAATTTGGCAAAAACAGTGTGGAAAGTTTGTTGCTCTACATACTGTACTCATTTCCTGGGAAAGTTTTTACCATTAGTGCTTAACTAAAAATATGTTTTGTTTCTTTTTCTTTGCCATTATGATGGTAGAAGTAAATGAACATTAATATAAATCAGTCAATAAATCCTGACAGTAGCAAAGACAGTGTGAGGGAGTCAAAAACTCCTCAGGTACAATTACACTTCTGCTGTTAACCTGTTAGTGATCCTTAGGTAAGTCAGCATCTCTTAGTATGGATCTCCATTGGGATAATAATTGTAATTGTTGCTTTACAGTGGCTTTAACGTATAGAAGTGCTAAATGATGATGATGGCGGTGATAAGTGGTAGATTCACATAAAAGTACGTTCTAACGTAAAATAGGGAGAAAAAAATTGAGCAGAGGTCCCCACACTTTTTAATTCATGGACTCCTTCATGAAATTTTGTTCATTGATTATATTATAAACATTGATTATATGAAAATAATTTAATAAATACTATTTTCAGTAATATTACTATCAATAATTGAATAAATAACAATATCAGCTCTTTGGATAGTCCTACCAACAGAGGGGGTATTCAGCAGGTTCTGACCAGTTCTGGAGAACCAGTAGTGGAAATTTTGAGTAGTTCGGAGAACCGGCAAATACCACTTCTGACTGGAGATTTTCCAGTATCCTTCCCCTGCCACGCCCACCAAGCCACTCCCACAGAACCGGTAGTAAAAAAATTTGAATCCCACCACTGCTCTTCAGGATCAGTAATGACTACTTTAAAGAACCCTGATATTGAGCATTCTTTCTGGATTCTTTCCAAGCAGCTCCACTCAGGATCATGTGACTAAGAGGAGGGGCTTCAGAATTAGAGTAATCGACAGCTTTCTGAACTGTTGCCCACCTGCAACAATTCAGAGGATTTTCCCCTTTATTTGGTCCTGCATTGTTTGTTTTTAGATAGCTGTCCTGTTGACAAGGAGGACACACAAACAACAGAGTCCAAACTCCCCTCATGTTGGGTTGGAAAGAATAAAAATGGCTTTTGGTTCCCAGCTTAGTGGAACATCCTATTTTCAGCAGCAAACAACCAGATCCTAGCCACAAATACAACCAGTCATGGTACACCAAGCTACAGTACAACGAGCCATGATACACCAAGAAGCCTCTTTGTGCTTCCTGGGATCTGGTAACTTTGGGCCATGTTGTTGGGACTTGCTGAGGTACGGCAATTTTGTGCCACACTGTTGGGGTGAGCTAGGGTGGCTGACACTTCCAGAGATATCTGAGGGTTCTTGCTTTGGGCCAGGTGCTTCTTGCAGCCCCAGAACCACAGTGTCAACTCATAAAACATTCCTATCCCTGTTTTAATAGTTGCCATTAAAAAAAGGGGGGGGGGAGGAAGGAAATCTGGAAGAGCAGTGCAGCAGTTGAAAGCGAAAGTACATTCCAACTCTTATCTTTAAAAGATTGTAACTAAAATACCAGAGCTTTTGCCCAAGAATATATTTCATTGGAGAACGTGAATGATGACACCCAGCCTGTTAATGTGTTCAGTTGGAGAATCTGGTTTATGTGACATCCAGGGGGGAAGGGGGAAACAGGGTCACAGGTGACTGTAAATTACGTATGCCAGAGTTGGCTTGCTGTCAGGATTCCAGCAATCGCTCTAATTAAATCATGATTCTCGAGCCAAACTTCAAAAAACT